GTGTGTGTGTGTGTGTGTGGTGTGTGTGTGGTGTGTATGTGTATGGCGTGGTGTGTGTGGTGTGTGGTGTGTATTTACATCTGTATGCAGATGTGCGTGCAGATGTGGGCATGTGGATACCCAAGGCTGACATTAGGTATTTTCTTTGATGGCTCTCTTCTTTATTTATTGCAGATCCTCACTAAACCAAGAACACTCACGAAACCACTGATTTTGGCTAGTCTCGTTATCCTGGCTTATTCTGGGGATGCCCCGCCTCTCTGCCACTCCTTCTTCCCTAGTGCTGAGAGTATGGGGAGCCCCATGGCTACCGGCTGGGGAGCAGAACTCCAGCCTTGAGCTTTGTCGGTTGAGCCACCTCTCCAGCTTTGATGCTACTTTTAATGAATGTCATTAATTAAGTGAAGTCTTGACCTCATGACCTCAAGCACCCCTCCCCCCTTAGCGTTCTCAGTGCTGAGACCAAAGCATGGGCTCGACAGCTGCTCTCATGAAGGTTTAAAGACTTATGAAGAAAGATAGTCATGTCCAATTGACACACTGTCACAGAATTGTATGTTAAAAGAATGAGGAGAACCAGGCATGATAGCACACACCTTTAATCCTGCTCTCTGGAGACATAGGCAGGAGGATTTGAGTTTGAGGCCAGTCTGGTCTACAAATGGAGTTCCAATCCAGCCAGGGCTACATAGCAAGACTTTTGTCTCCAAGGAAATAAAAAATGGAGGAAAATCATCTCAGCCCTAAAGGCAGGGCATTTCCTTTTCTATCTTTAGGGACACTGTGGTCTCCTGGCCTATTGATGTTTTCTTAACTTTCTACTTTTGTAGGTATAATGGATTCATCCTGCCATGTCTGGGGGTTCACCCAGTTCAAGAACTTCCACCAGAAAAACCAAGAAGTGTGACATTAAAGGTAAACATCACGTAGAATAAGAGGCATAACTAGTGTAACTGACTCAGTCGTCACCCCACACTGCTTTCTAAGTTCTAGTCCTAGGATGTGGGGATGGGAGTGCTGGGGGTCGGGCCTCAGACACACTAGGCAAGCATCCTGCCACTGAGCTGTAACCTTGGCCAAGTGTCTTATTCCGAGAGAGGGTCTCACTGAATCATCCATGCTGGCCTTGAACTCAGGCTCAGGCAGGGTTTGAACTCCCAATTCTCCCGTTTCCAGTTCCCGAGTTGTTAGAACTGCAGCCTGTGCTGCCAAACCCAGCTTCTGACTTGTATTCTAAGTTAATAACCGGAAACAAAGAAACAGGACCTTTGATCAGGTCAAGCTTGTATGCTGTAATGATATGGTGGAGTTATGGATTTACTCTCTCCATAGTTTTTAACCACATCACATTGCTTTGCTCACTGCCCTGTCCCTCCCCCCGAATGATGGGAGGGCTGGGGAGATGGCTCAGTGGGTTAGTGCTTGTCGTGCAAGTGTGAGGCCCTGAGTGTGATCCTAGACCACACGTAAGATAACCATGGGTGTTGGCGCACACTAGAACTCTCAGTGCTGCGGAGGTGGTAACAGGATGGAGGTGGTGACAGGAGGATCCTCAGAGCTCACCGGCCAGCCATCCTGTGAGCCCTAGGTCCCAGTGGGAGACCTTGTCTCAAAGTGAGACTGCCTTAGCT